TGCTCCTGCTTTAGCAAAGAGGCCATAAGGGCTCACAAAAGCTTTGTAACCTGCCTGTGGTCAAAGATCTGACCGTAATCTTTAGCCTGCCTGGTGCCAAGCCCAGGTTCTTCTCAGAGCTACCCAGAAGGGTTCCTGTCCCTGACTCAGCATGCTGTGCATGGGTTCCCTCCAGCTGTCCTTTCTCCTCTGAGTTTGAAGGAAATGGCAAAGATGAACAGTGAGGGCTAACTCTCACTCAAAAACTCTTCTGCCAGCTCCCAGACACAAAAGGACACAACACAGGAAGGTATCTTTTCCCAGGACCTAGCTCCAGACCACAGCTGGCCTACATCCTTGATTCCTAGGACAGTCTCAAGGCTCACTTACCCAGCTCCTCATCTGCAGTTCTTTGTGAAGCCAAAGGCCCACATCAGAAGAAAAGAACGACTATGGACAATGACACAGTGCTAAACATAGCTCTGTACATTTGAAAATGAACAATGTGTAAAAGCCTTGAAAAAATTTTTCTTTGATGTGAATGGAGTCTTCGGCATTTCGGAATACAATACCATGAATTAATTGCTACTCATTAGGCAGCAAGTCAGGCCAGCACTGAATGTGGCTTCCCTCCTCCACAGTAGCTGTGGCCCGACCAGAGTCGCCCCTTTTGTATTTGCTCCCGCCTTCTGCAGTGATAAGCAAATTAGAGATCGTAGCTAGAAAACGTTCAAGTGCCCCATCCTTTGCCCAGACCACCTTATGTTTTTGTGATGTTTATCTGCTCAAGGTTCATGGCTAATTATTGCAGAGGTCACGTGAATCCACACTTTGCTTGATTAGAAACATCTGCAAAAGTAATTCTTAGGGAAGTATTTTGTGTTTTGTCTTTTTCTGGTAGGGGAAAAAGTGGTTTTTCAAGCAAATTGCTGTTTTTCCTCCCTTGCATTGTAATTTTATGTTGCTGGGAAAAGTATGTTTGCAGGAAATCGTTTAATAGCTCATGAGAGGTTTTTACTCTTGGTCTCTGTGACATCATATGTCTTTTTCCTAGATGATAGATAGTTCATGAATAAATTTGGCGTGTTATAAGGTTTGTATACACACACTATATTCCATATATTAGAACTTTACAGGTTACCTATATATGCTACATATTGCATGCTGTTCATTAATGGATGGCAGCTGAGATACACTGCATATGGGAGCATGCATTTTCTTTATATTTATTACCCTTAAAGTTTGTCTGTGGCTAATGTCTAGAGACAATGAGATCATTTTTTTTTTTGCAAACCAATGAGAAAGGAGGGAAAAACTCATATGATAGCTAGAGTCTGGTTCATACAGTGTCCTGGACTAGAAGAGAGTACTCTTCGGCCATGCACATTCTCATTGCTGCCTTTCTATTATGTATATTACACACAGGTATTTTTCTAACGCCACATTCATTTTGATCACAAAGAGGAGGCAGAACAGAGCTTGTTTTCATGAAATCTGAAAGCCTGTTTACTTACTAACAGTTTATGAAGTTTCAGGCCTAGGAGTTTATGAGTTATACTGGGCTGTTCAGATGGGGTAGGGGCAGTGGAGCTCTTGATGATATATGGCATAAATTGAATGGTGAGGAAAGAGGGTAAGATTAAGGAGTCTCTTACCTCTAGCCCAAATTTTCTCAGCATCTTTAGCCCATATTTGCTACTCTCTGTCAGTTCACCAGGCCATGAGCTCAAAAGGAACAGTGAATATGAACTTGTCCCAGGTGCCTCCCCCCACCCCTATTTTTTTTCTCCTGTGTTCCTGTGTACACACATACTCAGTATTTCCTGGGGTCTAAGACAGGCAGAGTATAACTCAATATTGACTTACTACTATTTCAAGATAACACAGTACATTCATCCTTTGTAAATCTCATCCTCATCTCAGAAACATCAAGAGGTGCAAATAAATCTTAGAGTGAAATTAATTTGGTGTGTGAGAGTAGCTCACATTTCTTATTTCTTACATGGACTGAGACTTACTGTGTCCACCAGCCCCTCTTCTTTTGTATGAGGGTGAGAGGAACCAACAGATAAAAGGTCAAGATATTATCCTGCAGTGACACAGGCAAGCAGTTTGCCCAGGTTTGACACTTAGGGTGATAATTTTCCAAAGTCAGGTGGGTGTCTCTGTGTTGCAAATGACAGCTGAGAGATCATCTTTCTGAACTCCCATCTCAGGGTAAGAGGGTCTGCGCCCAGTGTCCACCCTGATCTTCATGTAGCTCTGCCAGTGCTCATTATCTATTTCCAGGGTTGCTTTGGATTTTAGAACCCCCCCCCCCAAAAAAAAAAAAAACCATACACACACAACACAACCCTTTTAATTTTCACATGTATATTATAGATGAAGGGCCACTGCTATGAAATTTAATGAATAGAGTATTTCTACTGGAAAGATACAAAGTCACAAGTGTAGACATTTTAGTCCATTTACAGAAAATTGCCTGTTCTCAGGCAGGTAGGTCAAGTGCAGGAGCCACTACTTGAGATAAGATTTCCGTCCCACATTTGGCTTTCTGTCCGTTAGGACAAGCAGCTAAGAGCTACCCAGATTTGAACAAACTACTAGGTTGCTACTGATTGTTAGTTCACTGGCCTTATAGATTATGATGTGCTGGTTATAATGGAGTTCACCAGCCCCCTTTGTAGCTACAAATACATGTGTTTATAATGTGCACAGAAGGGTGTAAGAAATTAAGGTGCAATTCTTCCTACGTGAAGAAAATGACAGGTGTGGCATGACTTGCCCTAGGTAGGACAGGAAGCCAGAACTTGATTCCCTAAAAGCATGTGCTTCACTCCAAGAAAGTGCTAGGTACTATAGATACCACAGAAAACAATGCCTTTGCTCTCCTGTATTTATTTGAACTTTGTTTTTATTTATGTACCTGCCAGAGTGGCCAGTAATTATTAAACAGATGAATCAGATCTTGTTCTGAAACTGTGAGAGGTAAACAAACAGCAAAGATAGTTTCTTTTCTCCCTACATGGTGACTAATTTCCTTGTTTTAAAAGAAGGGAATGTGGCTGGTGAGATGGCTCAGCAGGTAAATGCATTTGCTTCCAAGCCTGGTGACCTGAGTTCAATCCCAGGGACTCACAAAGTGGAAGGAGAGAACTAACTCCTGCAAACTGTCCTCTGACTCCCCCCCACCCCCATGTAGGCACACACATACTTAATAAGTGTTAAAAAATTTTTTTAAGGAGACTATCAGGCCTTCATGGATATTGTGAAGAACTTTTAAACATACCTAGCAAAGAAAAATGTTTCAAGCAGGTCCTCATAGCCAGTAGGTCTCGGAGGTTCAAGGAACTGGTTTTTCTCTGGACCTAGGTTTTAGTTTTATATGCCCCACTAAATTATACCAATCATACTCCACACTGGGGTAGGCAGGATCACTGCTCTCATCAGCATCTTATAAACACAGAACTCACAGGTCTCTGAGAGGCTGCAGGATTTCTCACGGAGCAGAGCTGGTCCTGGAGTGATTTTGCAGTTCCTCAGAATTCACACCAGCTGAAGATGCAAAAGGTCTGGGCTGTTTTAAATCAATCACTCAGTCCTGGTCCTAAAGTTATGAAGCATGGGGAAGGCACCTGTGGCCATTCCTCTGCTATTACCTCCATCTCAGCAAATTGCCCAGAGAGCTTTTATGACCTTATCAGGGGTTGAATGGCTTCAGGGTGGCTTCAGGGTTGAAGTCGAATGTGATGGGCCCAAAGAAAAACTAGCAAGTGTGTATTGGTGTCAGGCATTCTCCACTGTGAGTAGAGCCGTATTGCCCGTAGATTCCCTTCAGAGGGAATGAGTGGGGCCAGATGAAGTCACCGGCCTTTCAAAGTGATTGACTGGTACTGACATCTGTGTGTGTTGGGCTCAGCTCTGCTTTAAGACACATAAATGCTCCCGGTCTACCATAAAATCCTATTTCCTATATGTCTGTCTCCTTAAATTTTACTTGCATCAACTTTAGGTTGGACAGGCTTCAGGTTAGAGGTTTGACTGACTAGCCAATAAAACCTGGCTTGAAAGAGTGCCAGCTGAGATCATAAGCATCTTTGCTAGTCACCCTAGCAGGGACCAGCAATCAAGCAAACTTCCCCAGGCCTTCACTGTGTCCTTGAGGCAGAAGGTGCCTGGCATGGCTGCTTTTCACAGTGTCCAAGTGCAGCCTGAAAGCTGATATAGGGCTCTTGAGTACAAAGTACAGAAATGTGAAAATTCATGTTTAGCTCCTCCTACTCTCCCTTCTTATTTTTCTACTTTCTTTCAAAACATTTGTGATAGAATATTTTTATTCCTTGAGAATCTGTCTCTTGGTTATGAGCTTTTAGAACAGTTCTCATGGTTTTCCTGGTGTGCTGGGCAAAGTGCTGTGCACATTTTGGAGAACCAAATGCATCCTTGTTAGAAGCTTCTAGAATTGTTCACTAGTCTGATTTTCTTTTTTTCTCTCAAGCTCCTCTTGACCTTCTCTTTGGCAGCCTGGCCTGTTTATTCCTTACCTTTGGTTAACTCTGTAAACATGGAAGCTGCCTCCTGGCTGACTCTTAATGTCCTCTCAGTCACTGTCCCTCACCATAAATTCTGAGTGGCAGCTCAGTAGAAGGTACCACAGTTTGTGTTGGTGTCACTATTTTGTTCCTGCTTCAGTAACCTCTGGGCTCTGAGTGTAGACCCTCACCCCTTAAGCCTTGCTGCACCCATGGGGCCTGCCACACACAAGGCCTGAGAGTTGTTCCATCTACATCACATAGCCACCAGTCAGGGAATTGGGGGAGGGATCAATCCTGTCGTGGTCATTGTTGCATAGCCATCTGTATGGTACTCTCCTAAATTATAGAAAATGACCACATTCACATGCATTTTATAGCACCTGAATGTTGCGTTTATATACATATGTATTTTTTTTTAACTAAAGAGAAAAGTAACCCTGCCTTTGTATGTGATTCTTTTAACAAACTGTTTATTATTGTATCCAGGTAACAAGCATGGTAAGTATATTCTCTAACCTGAGTATTCTGTATTTTAGCTGTGCTTGGCAGACTTTTGTTTTTTGTTTTTTGTTTTTTTGGCTAGCTTTATGTTACCAGTCTTGGCTTTGTAGAAAAGATCCATTTAGGAAAGGAAAGACTGTAGCATCCCTTACACCCTGAGCTTTGGTAAAGGAACCACCGTAGCCTTAGCCCCATAGCATGTGCCCTGACAGCATGCTGCTTGGCTGCCCCCCACCCCCACCCGTCTGCTGCTTCTGAGATGGCCCTCCATAGATGTCTGCCAGGGTTCCTAGGCCTCGAATGACCCAGCAGGGCTGGCACTGTGGCTCAGTGACAGCAGGCACCCAAACAATGTTCTCTACCTTCTGTAGGTGGCCCTGCCCCTGCTGATAACCTTTCTTCTCACTTTTCACTTGGAAGCAGGGTCACCCCTACCCCTATTGTGGTACATCATTGAGAATTCTTCTGGAAATAGAAACAATGAATACATTGTTTGGCTTCCTATCTATTGGAAAATGGATTAAGGGTTTAAAACCCAACTATGCCACTAGGTATTGCTTGCTAGTGGCCCCAATTCCATAAGTTAGAGTCACAGCCTCCTGGCCATTTGATTTCTCTCTGTGCATGTGTGCTTTCCTGGCCCCCGTGTGGCTCTGTATTTTAGTCTTTGTGCTCGTGGCTGTACTGTTAAACCCACGTGGTAGCCATGTGCTCTGTATTAAGTCAATGTGTCACTGTCATCTTCAAGGATCAGACTGCCAAGGACAAGGCCTTACAGCACATGGCTGCCATGTCATCAGCCCAGATCGTCTCGGCTACTGCCATCCATAACAAGCTGGGGCTGCCTGGGATTCCACGCCCCACCTTCCCAGGGGCACCGGGGGTAAGTTAGCAACCAAATCCCGGAATGATGGATTACTGGGTATTATGGTGTAGCTACTCAGGAGGCAGATTTAGGAGTATCACAAGCTTGAAAGCCTGTTTGGGCAACATAGTAAGTTCATCCTGGTCAACTTGATAAGGCCCTATCTAAAATTAGAATTAAGTGTACTGAGTGACGATATAGTTTAGCAGTAGACCACTTGCTCATCATATGTGAAGCCCTTAGGACAATCCATAATACCGCAAAATAAAAGATAGATAGTAGGTGGATAGATAATAGAAGAATAGAATAAAAGATAGATGATGGGTAGATAGATATATAAGACAAGGAAGGCGAGAGAGGTGAGTCTAGAAAGAAGAGAGAAGGAAAGGAAGGATTGGTAGGAAGGAAGAAAGGAAAAGAGATGAAAAAGGTAAACACGAGGAAGAAGAAAGTAGGGAAAGTGGTGAAATTAAGAATCTTGTTTCTGGTGTCCCATTTAGTTGTGATCTGCCTCTTTCACTCTTTTTCCTGGTTCTTGGTCTCCATCCCCATATCCTCAGGGTCACTTTATAGCAACCACAGGGGCAAAATACTCTTTGTAAGATTTTCAGTTGACAGCTCCAAAAGGCTAAGAAGTTACCTCAGGGTCATCTTTAGTAGTCTCAGTGTCATGGCCATTTTGTAAATGCTGAAGCAGAGGTCATTCAGTAGTGAGGCACCAGTAGAAGTGACTTTGTGGGTCAGATAAGTAATACTGTAACGATTCTTCTGTTTTTCTCCCTTTTGATGGGGAATAACAGGCACCAAAGATCTTAGGTGTGCTCACAGCAAAAATGAGTGCCCTAGTTGCTTCTCCCAGCTCTGGCTTCGTTATTCCAACCAAAGTCCATGTGTCACTTTGTTGGACCTTGAGAGATACATATTATGGGGTGTACAGAAAGTACTTGTAGTAGAGGAGGGCCAGCCCTTGCAGACTAAACTGAAGTATTTCCACATTGCCTCTTGGCCTTAGGAGAATTTTCAGGACATAGTGTATAAAGGAAGCCACCCTATTACCAGGTCAGGGATAGGCTATGGTCTTGAACAAAGTACCTATACACCTGAAAGATGATGCCACAGCTGGTGGGTGGGAATAATCTGATGTTTTTCAGCAGGGGCATAATTTGGACACGTCCCAAATTGTGCTTTGACAAGAACTTATAACCCTGAAGCCTTTGCCTCTTGCCTTCTAGTTCTGGCCTGGAATGATACAGACAGGACAGCCAGGATCCTCTCAAGAGTAAGTCTGTGAAGGGCCCAGACAGCAGGGGTTATTAGACAGCCCACCCTGGGGGAATTTCTCCTGTACCAGACTTTCTTAGGGGATAAGGGAGAGAAGACCCTCAAACTGAAGTCCCCGAATCTGCCTTTCCTTATGTCCCCATGTTCTAGGACATGGAAAAGGACCTGCCTTTGAGAGTTAGCACCAGTATAGATTCCTTTCTTCTACCTTCACTATTAGCAATGACACAATGAGAAACTTAAATTTGGTCCCTTATCCTCTGCGGCTTTGGTTGCAGTACCAGGGTCTCTCTCACCTGCCAGAGGTCAGCAAGGACACTGTCTCTTTCCATTGTGACTGTCCGTGCAATAGGGGTGCCTAGTAGAAAACCCCAGGGGCCCCTTTGAACTCAGGGAGCAAGCTCAGCCCATGAGTCAGTTTGGGGCAGTTTGGGGATGAAGCAGAAAGAAAATTTTCTTTGTATATATTGAGCTATGTGGTCTGAAGAAGGGAGATCCTAACTCATGGCATCCTAAACGTTCTTTGGGCTGTGACAGATGACCTTGGTCTGTATGGGCAGGACAGCACAGGAAAAATCTTCCTTTTTGTAGATGTATTTCAGCATGGAATGAGCAACCCAGTGCAGGCCGGGAGCCAGGCAGTGGAATGGGGTCAGGGGAGACTACAGGAAGCCAGAGACTGACCTGGGTAGTAGCCACCACTGCAGCCATGATTTTGACTCTTGCTAACCATTTGTCTTTAGCGTCAAGCCCTTTGTGCAGCAGGCCTACCCCATCCAGCCAGCAGTCACAGCCCCCATTCCAGGTGAGTCTCCCTGCTTCTTCTTTGATGGGGAGTGAGAGGCAGCCTGGCCTCTTTTATCACAAGAGTGCGGTGGTGTTGGTCTTGGCCACCAGCCGCCCCTCCTCTTTTCCTTCTAAGGGCATCCCATGTCATACTCTGGGTCCCTTTACTCAAGAGTTCCTTCTCCTGGTGGCTAGAGAGATGGCTCAGTGGTTAAGAGCCCCGATTGCCATTGCAGAGGACCTGGATTCATTTCCCAGCACCTACATGGTCTCTTATAAACATTTGCTAATCCAGTTACAGGGGATACTGTCATTTCTGACCTGTAAACATCGGGCATGCACATGGTGCATATACATATATGCAGGTAAAACATTTAGATGATAAAAATTAGTAAATAAAAATAAATTTAAAAGTAGCCATTTCTTCCAAGAGCTTTTCCTGTGAGGTCAGGAAACTGGAAGCCTGACCACTTTCACTTAAGACACTGGGTCCCACTTAGAAGGGGAAGTTGTTGTGGTTACCGTCTTCACAGCCAAGTGCAGCAATCTGAGTTAGGCACAGATAACTTTAAACTTTCTTAGATAGTGAGTTTCAGTTCCCTCTTGGTTCCCTTCTGTAATGAAGGCTTACATGGAATTCAGCTCACAGCAGAAACTATGAACTTGGCTCTCCCATCTGGTTCCACTTGTCATGAACTCTCTCACCCAAATATACATAGTATCATCCAGCTGAAATTCCCCGAGGTTTTGTGTAATTCTTGATCCTGTCCCTTTTGTGTCCCAAGTAAAATTGCAGTCCCTTGTTGCCCTCTGTTTGCATGGAGCATTCTGAGGGAATGTTCACAGTCTTGAGATAGAAGGTGAATCAATAGAAGCAATGCACCGTAGCAGGACCCAATACACCAAGCCAGGATGCTTCACAGGAAGCCTTCAATGCTTCATCCATTCTTAGCTTGTTCTCCAGCCTGCCCTCTTTACCCAGGATTACCTGCCTATATTAGTTGCTTTGACAAAATATCAATACAAGCAACTGAAGAGAGGCAAGTTTTGTTTGGGTTCACAATTTGAGGATATAGTCCATGGTGGCAGTGAAGTCATGGTGACCGGTATGTGAGGCAGCTGGTCACATTATATCCACAGTCAGGAAGCAGAGAGAAGAATACTGATGCTCAGCTCTGTTTTTTTATATGTTGCTCAGGACCCTTGCTGTGAGATGGCCTTAAGTGCATTCAGGGCGACACTTTCCTTTTCTTAAGTTAAACCGCGTAGATATTTTACCATAGTGATTCTAGATTTAGTCAAGCTGACAATGGACATTAACCATTAACCATCACAGTGTCCTCCTTAGCTGTCACACTGCCTGAGTGTACTAGTGGAGGGAGTTGTCCTTTCCTTCTAGGTCCTCTGTGTTCGGAATTATGCCCCATGGAGGTCTAGGAGGAGGTACATGTGGACTTGTGTAAAGGTGACAATTGTTATTTCAGGGTTTGAGCCTGCATCAGCCCCAGCTCCCTCGGTTCCTGCCTGGCAGGGCCGTTCCATTGGCACAACCAAGCTTCGCCTGGTGGAATTTTCAGCTTTCCTTGAACAGCAGAGAGACCCAGACTCGGTAAGTATGCCCAGAGGGGTGTGGCTAGTAGGAAGTGCTTCCATACCTGCTCATTTCTTCATCCTGTGGTCTGTCACTTCTGGACCTCTTTTCCCTTACACCTGTGTGAAATGTCCTGTGTGAAAACAGACATGGAACAGCCAGGTAGCCCTTCTTCACCCAGGAAGGATGCTGTTGGCAGATAGCTCTAGCTTCAAAGGTGGGTGTTTATTGCTGCTTGGACCACAAGCCTCAGGGAATACCCGCTTATGTCTCATAAAATTTAACAACAGGTAACATTTATTGGACATTCTTGTGTGGCTGGTTTGAAAGTATTTGGATACGATTAGATAAATGACAATGCATTAGTAACTTCTTTGGTTATATAGTTAATATCTCTGGATTAAAGATTCATTCTAAAACACTAAAGCCTAAACTATCAGCCATCATATTATCTAAGTCTGGGGGGTCCATCCTTCCCCCTCCCAAAACATTATCTTCAGAAGTAATGTTGGTATTCTGATAGCTGCTGTAGACTGTGATGCCTTGTCATATTGTAAATACCAGAAACACAGGCATCTGGACTCTGTTTGTCATTTTCTTCTCTTCCTTCCCCACCCACTCCAACTAGTACACATCATCCCATGCATATGCGAGCCTCCCTTCTTCTCTACCCCATAAGCCGCTACCCTTTGTTCACGCCCACTCCTTGGCTGTGAGTGTGAGGGTTGCATCTGTGTGTGGGTGAGCCCCAGGCAGCAATTGAAGCAATCATGAGTTAGTATTTGGGATCCTTACCAACTCCTTTCCACACTCTATCTCCTGGCACTGACCTCTTTGGGGACCAGGCTGGACATGTGGTTCCAGGGTTCACTGTGGGTCTTGCTCTCATCAAGAGAAAGAGTCATAGGCCAGGCATGTTGGCACACACATGAGGCAGACAGGCTAATCCACACTGATGGGGCATTGTGATGATAGTAGATCATTGGTTTCTTCCTGGAGGCCAGCCTTACCATCTCCTTCCTGCATTTTGTGTTTGTTCCCAGGTACTTTGCTACTGATTCTGTTCTTCCCTCGTTCTCTCCCTCTCTCTCTCTCTCTCTCTCTCTCTCTCTCTCTCTCTCTCTCTCTCTCTCTCTCTCTCCCCCCCTCTCCTCTCCTCTCCTCTCCTCCCCTCCCTCCCTCCCTCCCTCCCTCTCTCCCTCTTCCTCCCTCCCTTCCTCTCACCTCCCTCCCTCCCTCCCTCTGTGGTTTTTCAAGACAGGGTTTCTTTGTGTCATGGATTTCTTATTTTAAATAGTTTCATGGAATGTAGACGCCACCATCCCATAGTCTGAGGTCCTAAACTAAATAAAAAGGAAGAACACTAAGGGCCTAGTAAATATAGTATGTCAGAGACCTCTAAGTGCCAGTGTAGACTGTCTCTCCTCACAGTTGAAAGTTGCTTGCTCTTCATGAACTGCTCCTGCAGAGAACTCACCCACCTGTAACTACAGCTTCCAGATATCTGTTGCCCTTTCCTGGCCCCCAAGGGCACGTGCCTTCAAAGACACATACATGCAGAAATGTAATGAAAACTAAAATCTTTTTTAAAACAAGGTTACCTGATCTTTAGTTTAAAAATATCTAGTTTCAGCTGGGCAGTGGTGGTGCACACCTTTTATCCCAGCACTTGGGAGGCAGTGTCAGAGGCAGGTGGATCTCTGTGAGTTCAAGGCCAGCCTCGTTTACAGCGTGATTTCCAGGACAGCCAGGATTGTTACACAGAGAAACCCTGTCTTGAAAAAGCGAAAACAAAAACAAAACAAAATGTCTAGTTTCAAGGTTAGAGATGTAGTGAAATGAGAGAGCGCTTATTTAGTATGAACGTGCAAGACCCTGGATTCCGCCCACAGCATCTCAACGGGAAGAAAGTGGGTATAGTTTCAGACAATGAAGATGTTTTCTAATGGATCTGATGTTTCTGACTTGGGGTGTGATGTTTATATCAGATTCACCACCTAAACTCATATCAATTATATAATAATTTTGTGTTACCCAGCCTGTCTCACACACTATTTCTTAGAAACCCATTTTGCAGTTAAATGTATACAGATTGATATATGGGGGTTAGCTCAGTTGGTAGAGTGCTTGCCTAGCATGCTTGGAGCCCTGGGTTTGATTGCCAATACCACATAACTGTTCCTATAATCCCAGCATTTGGGAGGCAGACACAGAGGATTAGGAGTTTACAATCGTTCTTGGATCAATAATGAATTGCAAGCCAGCCTTGGCTACATGTGTAGCAGGGTGAAAGTTGTACATCTTCAATTTTAGTGGAAACATGAGGCCCATGTGTGGTCTCTGTGCTGGAAGAGAAAAGTGGTAGTTGACTTCTTGAAGTGAAAGGGAATTAGCCCAGTTATTTAAAGCATCTAACAGTGTCTGAAGTGGCAGCCTTTGCAATGACCTCACCTACCATTCACTAGGCAAATGCCCGTGCTGTCCCCTGACAAGCTCAAGTGCTGCTTCAGAATCAAGATTAGGCTGAAAAATTTGAAACATGTGGATGATTTCTTTGGCTCTTGAGACTTTCTGTGATTTCTGAGACATTAATTTCATTGTATTTTTGTTCTAAGAAAAGTTATGGTCATTTAAAATACTCAGCTGGTATGTTTAAAGACATTTGGAAATACTTAGTTAAAATTTAACTTGAAAACATTAATCACATTCGTTTGATAAGGAAATCAGGAAAGTGACCCTTAAATTAAATGTCAAAGTTGGAGTGTCTAGATCTTTGTTCCACACTTACTTGCAGGTGTATTTCTTGTATTCCTTTGCAGCATGTAGGCTCATTTAAACCATGAGGTGGTGAGATATCCTCAATAGGGGTTGGGGAGATGGCTCAGAGCTTAAGACCACTTTCTGCTGTTGCAGAAGATGAGATCAGTTCACAGCACCCACATTAGGCAGCTCAGCAGAAGTCTGCAGGCACCTGCGCTCATTTGTACATCCCTACACACAGACACATATGTGTACACGAATTGAAATCTTTTATCTGTTTATTGGTTCTTTGTTTTTTGTTTGTTTTTTGTTTTGTTTTGCTTTTGTTTTAAAGACAGGATTTCTCTGTGTAGTTCTGTCTGTCCTGGAACTCACTCCGTAGACCAGGCTGGCCTCAAACTCACAGAGATTCATCTGCCTCTGCCTCCTGAGTGCTGGGATTAAAGGTGTGCGCCACCACTACCAGGTGAAATGAAATAAGTCTTAAAGAATAATCTTAGTAGGAGAACTTAGCAAAAAATGGTGACGCAGCCAGACATGCTGCTGGGGAGTTCATTTACTCTGTAGCTCAATGCTAAAGTCAGTCAGTCTACCTCTTCCCTGAATAAGAGGCTTTTCCGGCATGCTGTCTCATAGGCAGCTTTGAACCTGGGTCTTCTGTAACATGATTGCTTAGCTGTCTAGAAGCAAAGCCCAAGAGCCTGGAACCTAGCCTGTCTCCCTGGTACAGGGCTGTACACTCTGTACCAACCTTTCTTGAAACCCCACTGGCTCACCACATGATGCTGTTGTCATCACTAAGGACTTCTCAGTTTTGCCACTGTCATGTGGACAGTGTTAGTTCCAGTAGCAGTTCTGGCCAGTACCTCTTAAACCTTTCCTATGTGCCAACACTATATGTTAGCTTATGAAATAGTGTACCTCATGTTAGACTGCCAACTGATATTCAAGATGGGACTCATTTCCAGGTCAGCTGACTCCGAGTCCTGAGATTGTGACCAAAAGGCTGTCTGGTTCATTTATGTCTGAGGAATAGCCTGTGTTCATGGCCCAAGGCTGTGAGGGACTAATGGGAGAATAATAAATGGCTGCACGCCCCCTGCTGGCACCAGGTCCTGCGTGCAGCAGATGGCAGCATTTCCCCAAGTTGGTGGTTGTTTATATTGGTAGAAAACCAGCAAGGCAGTCCCTCTGTTACCTTTGGCTCCACTAGAAGTGAAGAGAAAAACAGCAGAGGGTGAAGAAAAGAAGGAAGAACCTAAATAACAAAGACTGTTTTATAAGTGGTTGGGAGTGCTTGAAAATACTCTTTCTACATGGTTTCCGTGTTGCACATCAAAGTGTGAAGTGCAAGCTTCTCCATGGATGTGGACGATTTAAAGGACCAGTCCTGGGATTGGGGCCCAGCATCTAGAGGGAAGTGTAGGCAGCTGCTCCCTTGTAGACACAAAATCTCGTAGTAGGAAGCTGTGAATGGTGTCCTGTATGTGCCTGATAAAGCCTGGATGGTTCCTTAGCCCCTACCCCGACTCACTCCAGGGGCAAAGAAGGTTCCTTAGTGGTATGTTGCCTCTCTACTCACCTACAGCAAGCCCCTCCTTGTTACTAACCAAGTTCCATGTTTTCATGACCACTGTGCTCTGTGTGCCAGCACAAGCAGGAATGGAGAATGAGCAGGGTTGCTTAGATGAGAGTTGTATTAGAGAAGGGGACACTGGGAGAGGAGATGACACATGGTCCAACTCATGCAGTACTAGAACATGCCTGACCAGGCAAGACCATACTGAGCCTGCCTTTTGTGTACCTGCAGGGTGGTCATCACTAGCACTTATTAACTGCACTGTCAGCAGTGTGCTAGGTGTTTTGCCTCCAAAGTGTGAGCTCTAGGAGCAAGGCTGGGTGGAGAGCTGGATTAGCATTCCTGGGGGCTCCTTTTATAGCTTAGTGTTCTGTGAAGCCAGAGAAGTAAAGAATGTCACAACTCTTCTGCCTCACTTTCATGACATCTGTAACTCATACAAAGATAAGATTCCTTGGCTTCTTAGTGTGTGCGAGCCTCAGTTTCCAGGTTTTGGTGTGAGCACAGCAGGGTCTCTGAGTAGCTGACTATGTTATATTTTGATGCTGTCTTTAGGCAAATCAAATATTGCTGAATGATTTTTGATCTGGTCTTTGAGTACTACAATGGGAATTAGAGCCAGATGGTGGGTAGTGAGAACAAAGCCTTGGGGGATAGCCAGCTGCAAGAGGCAGAGGGT